TTCGAACTGCGGACGGTCCGTCGTGGCGAAATGTAACTTGCTTCGTTGATTCTCGTTTAGATCTTCGCGGAGGTGTTGGCGACGTCGCCAACCTAACGGACTGTCGTGACACTTTTTCACATTTCCAACACTCCGCTTTGTGAACCGTGGACTGTCCGAAACCCAAACGGACGGTCCACCATTTCTGGCTAGGTATTGGTGGGCGAATTTTAATGTACAGTAAATCATAACGATTCGCCAACGACGCTAATACCGAAAATGTCGCGAGATAAATTACGAAGATACAAGGCCTCTAACGAGGCTACAGTGGTCGCAAAAGTCAACAGCCCCAAAAAAGTGTCACATTAGCCTTCGGACAGTCCGAAGTTGCAAAATTTTGATTCGGACGGTCCCGTTCTCGAGAATAGAACCGTCCGCTTCGTTCTAAGCGGACTGTCCGTCGAAAACGTAAAATGCAAAATGGTTACGCGCCCTTACTTCCGATCAATAGCTTCTGCAGCAACTATTTGGACTGGCGGAATCCGAAATTTGGATTTGATTGGCGGAGAATAGAACAAGATAAAAGCGCTACGACTGTCGCCCCCCTTGATTCGCAGCAGCACGTCGTCCGTCGCAGGTATGGTCGCAGTCGCAGTCGCAGCGAGCGACATCGCATGGCTGCTCCTGGTCGGCGCGGTCTGGGGAATCACGAATCCGCTCATCAAGCGCGGCGCCGCGATGTCGAAGCGGCACATCAAAGCGGACGAATCCGCCGCAGCTGCCGGCAAAACTGCCGGAATGGAAGCTTCCATGTCGTTTTCTCAGAGATTGGACTTCAGATTCAGGAGATTCGTCCACGTGGTTACTCGTGATTGGCAGGTTGGTCGACGGGAGGGAGTACGTAGAAGGCTAGGTTCCGAGAGATGTTAGCGGCCTTACTTGGAAGCTCCAGCCATAGTACGTGATCAAAGCGTGGTGTGGGCTCGTGTTTCAATGGAGACTCAGAAACGTGAGGCCGACAGAGTACTTTGAGTGGGCTGCTTGACAGACATGCCTGGCGGGAATGTAGACGTTTCCGGCGTCCCCGTTTCCCAACCTCCCTCCCTTGCCATCGTCCCTGCGAAATGTAGCCATTTGACGATGGGCGCACTCACCTCCCTGCGCACTCACCTCCCTGCGCACTCACCTCCCTGCGCACTCACCTCCCTGCGCACTCACCTCCCTGCGCACTCACCTCCCTGCGCACTTGACGATGTAGCCATTTGACGATGGGCGCACTCACCTCCCCTCCTCGCTATCGTCCCCGTCCCTTTCCTTCCGCCATGTCTTTTTCCATTATAGTCGAACGGGACACTATCTCCCTCCCATCTCCCGTTCCCCTGGATCGTTTCCAGCGTCGCCGTCATCCCTCCTCCCTCCCTTGCCTGGCAGATTCCATTCCAGGCACTTGATGGGCTCAGTTCCCTCCTCGCCATCGTCCCGGCAAGCGAGATGCCCCTTCCTCCCCCCTCCTCCCCCTTCCCCCCCTTCCTCCCCCTTCCTCCCCCTTCCTCCCCCTTCCTCCCCCTTCCTCCCCCTTCCTCCCCCTTCCTCCCCCTTCCTCCCCCTTCCTCCCCCTTCCTCCCCCTTCCTCCCCCTTCCTCCCCCTTCCTCCCCCTTCCTCCCCCTTCCTCCCCCTTCCTCCCCCTTCCTCCCCCTTCCTCCCCCTTCCTCCCCCTTCCTCCCCCTCCTCCCCCCTCCTCCCCCCTCCTCCCCCCTCCTCCCCCCTCCGCCCCCCACCTCCGTCAGTACAACACACGCATCTGTGCTTCCAACCTCTCCGGTTCACTCTCTTCTTCCACGTGGGTGCCCTGAGAGCCACCCACGTCTATCCCAGCCCAGTCAGCAACAACCACGGCCTTCCCTCTCTGCACTCCCCATCCCCACAGTGCTACACGGCTCTGTGCCTCAACGTGTCGGCTTTACTCCCTTGCTTCCTCACCCAAAGGGGCGTGCACGCCTCTCCCATTCAGCAAAGGCCAATGTCTTACCTCTTTCCCCTTCCCCCTCCCCCCTTTCCGCTCTCCCCCACAGTACTACACGCCTCTGTGCCTCAACCTCTCCGGCTCGCTGCTATTCTTCCTCACGCTGAGAGGCATGCACGTCTCTCCCAATCAGCAAGGACCACCGCCTTCCCCCTTCCCCCCCCCCCCCCCCCCCCCCCCCCCCCCCCCCTTTCCCTCCCCCCCCACCCCCACAGTACTACGTGCCTCTGTGCCTCAACCTCTCGGGTTTGGTTCTCTTCTTCCTCACACTGAGGGGCGTGCACATCTCTGTGGCAGTGCCTGTCAGCAACCTCTGCAGCCTCCCACCCTCAGTTCCTCTCTTCAATATACCCACTTCTGCACACCCCCCACCCACCCCCCCCTCCCCCTCCCTTCTCCCGCCTTCCCAGTACTACGTGCCGCTGTGCCTCAACCTCTCGGGTTTGGTCCTTTTTCCTCACCCTGAGGGGCGTGCACGTCTCTGTGGTAGTGCCATGCCAGTCAACAACCCTCAGTTTCCTCCTCAGTTTAACTACCATTTCATCCCCCAACTCAACCCTCCATCCCCCACAGTACTACGTGCCGCTGTGCCTCAACCTCTCGGGTTCGGTCCTTTTTTCCTCACACCGAGGGGCGTGCACGTCTCTGTGGCAGGCCCAGTCAGCAACCTCTGCAGCCTCCCACCCTCAGTTCCTCTCTTCAATATACCCACTTCTGCACACCCCCCACCCTCCTCCCTTCTCCCCCCTTCCCGGTACTACGTGCCGCTGTGCCTCAACCTCTCGGGTTCGGTGCTCTATTTCCCCACCCTGAGGGGCGTGCATGTCTCTGTGGCCGTGCCATGCCAGTCAACAACCCTCAGTTTCCTCCTCAGTATAACTACCAATTCATTCCCCAACTCAACTCTCCATCCCCCAATTCATCCCCCAACTCAACTCTCCATCCCCCACAGTACTACGTGCCGCTGTGCCTCAACCTCTCGGGTTCGGTCCTTTTTTCCTCACACTGAGGGGCGTGCACGTCTCTGTGGCAGGCCCAGTCAGCAACCTCTGCAGCCTCCCACCCTCAGTTCCTCCCTTCATTATACCCACTTCTGCACACCCCCCACCCACCCACCCCCCCCTCCCTTCACCCCCCTTCCCAGTACTACGTGCCGCTGTGCCTCAACCTTTCGGGTTCGGTCCTCTTTTTCCTCACACTGAGGGGCGTGCATGTCTCTGTCGCTGTGCCAGTCAGCAACGGTGCCACCTTTGCCTTCAACGCAGCAGCAGGCTATGCGTTCGGGGAGAAAATACAGCCAGCGTTGGCATTAGGGGGTGTATCGTTGGCTGTACTTGGAATTGCGTTGTGTGTATAGCGAGTTACTATGTGCACATGTGTTTGCACGATGCTGGGGTGCTTGCGTCGAGGTTTGGAAATAACCAAATTGTGGGAAGGGGCCACGGTTACCAGCCTGCTTCGATGCGGGGCACGAATCTAACAACGAGCAGATAGTGCAATGTGCTAACGGGAAGTGCATAAGTTAGTATTGCTGTACAAGGGTATGAAGGATGATGTTGAGAAAGCAAAAGGGGGAATATTTACAAGAGTAGAGAGGAAATGAAACCGTATAGGGGGTGTCTAGCCTGGTTGAATCTCAGGTCTTTTAAAAACGGTTTAAAAAGTTGTTGCAATATTTAGAGAGGTTTGTTACCATCACCGCATTGAATCTCTACTTACCTGTGTGCACACAACCTACTACCGATCCAGTTTTCCATTTTACAGAAACAACTTTGTTTCGTTATACGACTGCGGTTCGGTTCCGACACACAGTATTTCCCGCCAGAAAGCAGACACAAAGGGCCCCAAAAATGACCATTATTCGCTAGTTTTGAGATTCGCGAAGAAAGTCTCTGGGATTTGGTCTGTGAGTTGGTCAGTCGGTCGGGAACCCCCTCGCCAGCGCTCCCCTCATAAGCTTGCTTCGGAGTCTCCAGCTCACCACCATTTAGGTGGCTCACTTATGTCGGGAGTGCAGAGCTACCTCATTCTTTCATTGTTTCGCGATTAATCGCATACCAAGATTCATGTTGGGAGTAGCAGCAAACTTTAATCGCATACCGTGACGCTTTGCGAATATTGTTTGCAGTAGTGGTAGGTACGCAACAGCTCATCCACTCATATTCATGCGGGTTCGGCTCTCGGCCGTATAACATTCGATTTTTATGTTCTGGTAGTATTCATAACGCAGCTACCATACTTAGGATCCACTGACAACAGGAAACTCTCGTTAACTTATTCATCCACCCTGTATCGCCACCATAGCCACGCCGACGGCGCAATGCAGAGCGCGAAGCACAGAGTGACTCACCGCAGCGACGCCGCGGAAGGCCAGGGCGACGAGGCCGTTCTCTTGCCCGCGCTCGCACCCTTTAATACCCGCAGCAAGCTCACCGATTCCCCAGCCCCCAGCAGCCCGCAACTCAAGGCCGCGCGCTCCGCTAATGGCTCGAAAATCGCCGCTTGCCTCTCCCTCGCGTGGGCCATTCTCGCCACCATAGTCGCTGCGGTCTCGATCTCGTTACACGTGGCGGAACCTCCACCGTGGATCTTGGTTGCCTTGCAATTGACGCCGTCGAATCCCGGATCGACGGCTGACGTGCGGAATTGTAGCGACTGGATCTCGAAGCCAGCGGCAACGGTCGGTGCTGAAGACCCGTGGGAAGCAACCAAGGTGGGACGGCTAGATATGCACCCGCGCTTTCGATGGCACCAGCACCTACGAACAATTCGCTTACCTAGTAGTTCTTCTCGCCTCGAATCAATCTGGCGTGCCGCCACTGCGCCGCGCGTTTCCCCCTGCATTTCCCCTCCTCTCACCCCCTCCCCCCCGCAGTGGATACCGCGCGTGTCGCCGTGTCCAGTAGCGGGGCTGCCTATAGAGGAGCTGGACGAGCACCTCAACTTCCGCCACGAATTTCCCCCTGCATTCTCCCTTCCCCCCTCCCCCCTCCGCAGTGGATACCGCGCATGTCGCCATGTCCAGTAGCGGGGCTGCCTATAGAGGAGCTGGACGAGCACCTCAACTTCCGCCGCGGGTACTCGCTGGGCTTCGTGGACGACGCGGAGGACAAGACGCACATCCTGCCCGTGCTGCGAGCTGTGCTGGACCCTGCCATGCACGCCAGGTGAGTGCGTGAGTGAGTGAGTGAGCGCGTGAGTGAGTGAGTGAGTGCGTGAGTGAGTGAGTGCGTGAGTGAGTGAGTGAGTGCTGCCTGCTTGGTTCCACTGACGCCAGGTGTCGTCCTTCTCACGACAGCGCTCTCCCCCATGCTTGCTATCCCAGGAAGAGGCGCAGGGGCTCGGTTCTTCAACACGAGCATCACGTGGTTCCTGCAGTCGTACCCGCTCGACTTCACGGAGGTCCCCCTTGCCCGCTGCTCCCAATGCCCGCTGCTCCCCATGCCCGCTGCTCCCCATGCCTGCTATCCCACCCTTGCCCGCTGCTCCCCATTGTCAGAACTTAGGCTTAGAACTGATACATTAGTAATGAGCTTGAAGCTCTTTAAGTACATCCAAGAAGGGTAGGAAAAGGATGGGGAAGGGAATCGGGGGCAATCTCTAGGGATTGGGGGTAATCCCAAGGCAATCTCCAATTGGTGGGTTGGAGATTGGTTGGAGATTACATTTGGGTTTGGTTGGGATGTAGGTGTACACCCAACCAAACACAATGTGCAAACTACACTACTCTAGGATATAGAAAATACAAAGTACAAATTGTGAGATTGAAGACCAACACTAACACCCCCCCATAGGCGTCAATCGAACTCAGGGTAGAGAGGGTGGAGCACAGAGCCCCATGGCGCCAAGGAGACGGTGGTGGGGAACTTTCCCAAGGGGCTTGGTGAACAGATCAGCCAGGTTGCAGTCAGATGCAACGTATTCCACTTTCAACTGCTCTTGTTTGTTAAGGTCACGGATGAAGAAGTGCCGGAGTTCAATGTGCTTGGTGCGGGTGTGATACACAGGGTCTTGAGAGATGTGGATGGTACTCTGGTTGTCACACCAGAGGGTGGGGGCGGACTGTGGGAAACCAAGCTCCTGGAGTAGGAAGGTGAGCCAACGGGCCTCCTGAGCAGCCATGGTGCCAGCGTAGAGCTCTGCCTCACAGGAGGAGAGGGAGACTGCAGACGACCTGGTGGAGCGCCAACTGACAATTCCGCTCCCAAGGGTGAAGCAGTACCCCTGAGAGGAGCGTCGGTCGGTCTGGTCATCAGCCCAGGAGGAGTCGGTGTAACCTTCCAGGCGAGGAGGGGAGAGCCCACCGAGTGTGAGGACGTGAGACTTGGTGCCCTGAAGATAGCGCAGCACCCGCTTGGCTGCCTTCCAGTGAAGATCAGTGAAGCGTCCAGGGGCCACGTAGCGAGAGAGGACACTGACAGGATAGGTCAGGTCCGGTCGGGTGCACATCATGGCGTACATGAGGGACCCAACAAGCTCCGGGTATGGCTCAGAGCAGGCCTCTGGTGTGGGTAAAGCTGGAGCTGTGAGGAGGTGTTGCAGCGGCAGCGGGGGTGGCAACAGGTGTGCACAGCTCCATCTCAAACCGCTTGAGCACATTGTCGATGTAGAACTCCTGGGAGAGTGAAATGGTGCGAGCCTTGCGATCACGAGTGATCTCCATCCCAGGTAGTGCTTGAGGTCACTGAGGTCTTTCATCTGGAGAGCCTTGCTTAGGGCTGCCTGGACTGAGGTCATCTGAGCCGAGTCCTTGGCAACGAGGATGAAATCATCCACGTAGACTAGGATGTAGAAGGGCTCAGAATGACGGCGGATGAAGAGAGTCGGGTCAGCAGTTGAAGGGTGGAAGTCCAGGGAGAAGAGGACTTCTTTCACCTTGTTGTGCCATTCGCGAGGGGCTTGCTTAAGGCCGTAGACGGGGCGATTCAGCTTCCAGACAGTGTTGGGAGGGAATTCTCCTGGGAAGCCTTCTGGTCTGTCCATGAACACTGTCTCCTTGAGACGTCCTTGTAGGAAGGCGGATGAGGCATCCATGGATTTGATCTCAAAGTCTTCTCGAGCTGCGACATCCATGAGCGTACGAATGGTGGGAGGTTTGGATGTGGGGGAGAAGGTTAGGAAGAAGTCGCGGTACTGCTGCTGGGTGAAGCCCTTGGCTACGTAACGCGCTTTGAACACCGGTGCCTCGTCTGGGAGCTGTTTTACACGGAACAACCACTTGCCCCCGACGATGTTGACTCCTGGAGGTGGAGTCTCGTCGTCGAAGGAGTGGTTGCGGGTGAATGCTGCAATCTCCGCGTCCATGGCAGCACGCCATTCGGCAGCATGAGGGCCTGAGAGAGCCTCTTGGACGGTGAGAGGGATAGGGATGGTCGGGTTCTCCGCGAAGTTGAGGGAGGGTGAGCCAGTGATGTCGGGGAAGATGCGTGAGAGCTGAGGAATGACTGCATGGAGATCACACAACTCCTCATGCCTGTCTTCTAGAAGGGTAGAGGGCACATCCCCCCCAGCAGGAGGAGGCGGTGTGATCGCTGTGTATCGAAGAACCATCGCGAGTGGAAGAGCAGCGCGATGTGAGCGAGTGCCATGAGCCACCGGAGAAGAGGGTGGGGCAGGCGGTGTCGGAGAGGGTGACTTAGGAGGCTTGGGCGGGGGAATGGGCCGCCGGCGGTACGTGATCAGCTCGGGCGACTGTGGGAGAGCGGGTTCCTCTGTGGTGGGGGGAACCGGGGGAGGAGGTGGGGCCGGAGGGTGGGACCGCCGATGGTAGGTGATAGGTGCGCTCGGAGGGGGCGGCGCAGCGGGAAGTGGGGAAGGTGAGGGGGAGGGAGGAGCGGCTGTCGAAGACACCGGTGAGGCCGGGTCAGAGACCTCAGAGGGAGATGGTGCGATGGCAGGAGAGGGAGGAGGTGAGGGGGTAGGAGCAGGCGGGAGGTCGGGAGGCGCATCAAAGTCTGCCCACACGAGGGAGGGTGGATCAGGGAGAGGGTACCGTCCCGAAGGGGAGTAGAATGGGCGGGTCTCATCAAAGACAACGTCGCGGCTCTTGACCAACTGTTGAGTGGAGGGATTGAGGAAGAGGTAGTCAGGTGAGTCGGCGTTGTGCCCGAGGTAGATGCACGTCTGAGTCTTGGGACCGAGCTTGCCACCGTTCTGCCGTCGAGCCTGAGGGTTGAGGAGGACATAGGCGGTGCATCCCCAAACGCGAAGAGAGCGAGCAGTGGGCGTTTTCCCGAGCCAGAGTGTGGTTGGAGTGGTGTCGGGAAGGTGCGGGTGGGGGTAAAGGTTGTAGAGGAGGGCGGCGTGGTAGAGAGCGTACCCCCAGAGAGAGTGTGGAGCGTTGGAGTGGCTGAGGAGGCACCGAGTGATCTGCACCAGGGTGTGGTTGCGGCTCTCAGCTATGCCGTTCTGTTGAGGGCTGTCAGGGAGGGTGAAGTTTTGCTGGATGCCTTCGGAGGAGCAGAAGGCTTTGAGCTTGTCGTTGCAAAATTCACCCCCCCCATCCGAGTGAAGGCGCTTGACCTTGCGGTCAAAGGTGGTCTGTGCCTGCTTGACCCACGCCATGATGACCTCTGGAGCCTCAGCCTTAGTGTGGAGGAGGTGAACAGAGACGTAGCGGGAGTGGTCATCCACGAGAACAAGGAAGTAGCGATAGCCACCTCGTGCGAGAACAGGGGCAGGGCCCCAGACGTCCATGTGCACTAGGTCCAGTGGTGCCGCTGCGACTGTGGGTGAGGCAGTGTGGGGCTGTTGGCGCAGTTTGCTCTTGGTGCAATCAAGGCATGTGGGAGCGGGTGAGTCAGGTGGTGGAGGAAGTGTGGCAGGCAGGCCGAGAAGAAGTTTCTTGGAGGCCATGTCAGCAAGCGTGCGGAAGTTTGGGTGCCCTAACCGATGGTGATAGAGGATGGTCGGGTTGGAGAGGCTGCGACATGAGCATGGTGTGATGGGAGCCTGTGCTTGGGTGGTTGAAACCTGTGGGAGAGGTACGCGTAGCGTGTAGAGGCCGCTGCTATTGAGGGTGAAGCGGGCCAAGACCTTGTTGGTGAGTGGATCGATGATGTCGCAGTGGTCCTCATTTTCCGAGAATATGGTGCGTAGCCCTGCTTCCTGAATTTCTGTTTGAGCCACTAGATTGTGGCGTAGTGAAGGCACGCACCTGCCAGTGACGGTGCCGGAAGGGAAGGCGGGGCATGGGACTGTGGAGGTGCCCTTGGCCAGGGTGGTGAAGCTGGAGTCAGCTCCCAAGAGAGGGATAGGTGCTGAATAGGGTTTGAAGGAGAGTGTCTCCTTGAGCACAGTGTGAGTGGCCCCGCTGTCGAGTGTGAACTCTATGTATTGTGGTGCCTGTGATGAGTCGATGTACTGGGAAGTAGCTTCATTAATCATGGCAGTGCCAGGGAACAACAGGTTGATACGCACATCAGCAGGAGCACTATCACTAGCACTAGCCGAAGAGGGGTCCTGGACCTCAACGAGGTTGGCCTTACGAGGGCGCATCCAGTTTGGCGGCTTCTTGTCAACTCCATGGATGGCATACCACTCGTCGTCTTTTTTCTTGAAGCATGTAGCAAGGGGGTGGTTAGTGCAACCACACACTTGTCCCTTGCGGTTGCCATACTTGACGACGTAGGGGCACGGAGGAAAGCGGTTGCGCTGGAAAGGCGCCGAGGTGAGAGCCGCTGCAACACTTGTTGGGGGCATCGGAGCACGGATGGCGTACGCCTTGGCCTGAGCCGTGGAGTCTTTCTCGGCAAAGAGGAGTGCGGTGGAGACCTTAGCAAAAGTGAGGTCATCCGCTGAGAGCGTGAGGAGCATCTTCCTCGTGACTTCATATGCCGAGGTGAGACCAACAAGGAGGGCGGCTGCAGGGGCTTGTTCGGGGAAGACTATACCCAGCTCCTTGAGTTCACCATGAATGGTTTGCACCTTGGCGATGTAGTCGGCCATCCCTGAGCAGTCCTCAAGACGGACTTGAAACATGCTGGGGATGAGAATCGCCACTCCAACCGCCGTCTTGTTCATGAACCGATCCTGGAGATACTTCCAAATGGCGTTGGAGGTAGGGTAGTTGTGGAACGTGTTGACAAGTTCGGGAGGGGTGGAGGCGATGAAGACGCTGATGATGGCAGCATCGGCCTTCTCCCATTTCCGGTACTTCTCAGCAGCTTCCTCGTACGCCCTCACGTCAGCATCATTAGAAGATTCGGTCGGCTCTCGGGGGAGAGTAGGCTGTTTCCCCTTGCCACGGTTGAGGAGGGCGTCCTTGAGGTCCAATCCCTGCACGTCACGACTCAGGAGGTGCTTGTCAACCCCGTAGCTCCATGCCTTGAAGTTGGAGCTAGAGCCATCGGCTTCAAGGCGGAGTGGGGTGATGGGGTTGGCCATGGTGGAAGAGTAGAGAGCCATGATGAAGACCCCTTATCTTCTCGCGCGGAGCGCCGCTCTTAAGTCACCGATAAGAGCGCCACTCTTAAGTCACCGATACGAGCGGCGCGCAGCGCGGCGATTTCGAAATCCGACGGACCCGAAAGGCAAAAATCGTCAATGTCGGCCGCGTCGAATTGCCTCGTAGAAGAAATTTTCAGGCCGTCGAAATTACGTCGAATCGGCTGATTCTGGTAGAGCTAACCCTAATCCCACACACCCCCCCACACACCGCCCTCAGCTTCACGGCTACGCTGCTGCTCGGCTTCTCGGCTACACAACTACTCGGCTTCGCTGCTACGCTGCTGCACCTGTTCAGCTGCGGGAAAAGGGGGGATGGGGGTAGGAGTGCAGATGCGGGGCGACGGGCGGCAGCCCGAAGATGACGCTGCGGGGCGACGGGCGGCGGCCCGAAGATGACGCTGCGGGGCGACGGGCGGCGGCCCGACGAGAAGCTGCGGGGCGACGGGCGGCGGCCCGACGAGAAGCTGCAGGGCGACGGGCGGCAGCCCGACGAGAAGCTGCAGGACGACGGGCGGCGGCCCGACGAGGAGAAGAAGGGCGACGAAACCGTTCGACGAAAACGAGCGCGCACGACGAGAACGAGACATAGGTTATAGCGTCGATGATGCGCTTACCAGAAAGATTGTTGACGTCGTCGAAATTGACGGGAACGAGGTGCGGGAAGAATTCCGCCTTCGAATGTCGCGAATCACCGGCGACGAGATTGACGATGGCTACGCCGAGGTTTGCGGGACGAACATCCGCGAAGATAAGAGGATCACGATCCGCGTATGCGGTTGAAGGGCTCTGATACCATGTCAGAACTTAGGCTTAGAACTGATACATTAGTAATGAGGAAAAGGAAAAGGATGGGGAAGGGAATCGGGGGCAATCTCTAGGGATTGGGGGTAATCCCAAGACAATCTCCAATTGGTGGGTTGGAGATTGGTTGGAGATTACATTTGGGTTTGGTTGGGATGTAGGTGTACACCCAACCAAACACAATGTGCAAACTACACTACTCTAGGATATAGAAAATACAAAGTACAAATTGTGAGATTGAAGACCAACACTAACACCCATGCCTGCTATCCCACCCTTGCCCGCTGCTCCCCATGCCTGCTATCCCACCCTTGCCCGCTGCTCCCCAAGCCCGCTGCTCCTCATGCCCTGCTATCCCACCCTTGCCTGCTGTGCTGTCCCTCACACATGCTATCCCAGGAAGCGACGCGTCCTGATAGACCTGGGGGGGCGGTTCTTCAACTCGAGCGTCACATGGTTCCTGCAGTCGTACCCGCTCGACTTCACAGAAATTCATGCCGTGGAGGTGCGACAGGGCGTCTTTCAAGTGCCCGCGCCCAGCCATAAGGTGAGGGGGGAGGGGGTAAGGGGTGACGGGGAGTGCAGGGGTGTGCGTGCCGGTTTCTGCAAGGGTGTGTGTATGCGGGTGTGAGGGCAAGGGAGAGGGGCAAGGGAGAGGGTGCAATCGTACCCGCTGATATGGGATTCCACGACCCCGAACTCTAAAATCTCAAACCCGAAACCCTAGTATGAGATTCCAAGGCGCTATAGTGAAACCTTGAAACCCTGAACATGAAACTCAAAATCCGGAATTTGGAAGCCTAAACCGTAAATCTGAAATCTTGAACTCTTAGTCTGGAACCCAGAACCTGAAAGCATGTTGCATCGATGCCTGTTGCAAGTGCATGCTGCTTGCTTGGTGAGCGGGGCGAGGGGGTGAAACATGTTGAGTGGTGTGCTGTGTTGGCATGGCACCACTTCACACATGCCCCTCACACATGCCGCTTCCTCTTTCCACCCTCCCCTTTCCACCTTCCTCCCCTCCCTTTTCCCCTCTCCCTCTCTGTCCACCCTTCCGCCCTTCCGCCCTCATCAGACGCTACGTGCGAACATGAGCAATCGCAGTCGCCTGCGCGCACTCCACATGGGTCCGGCGGACTTCCCTCCATCCATGGTTGCTCGCCAGGGTGCACGCCCATCGCTTCATGGCCATCTTCCTCCCCTTCCCCTTCCCCTTCCCCTTCCCCTTCCCCTTCCCCTTCCCCTTCCCCTTCCCCTTCCCCTTCCCCTTCCCCTTCCCCATCCCCTTCCCCTTCCCCTTCCCCTTCCCCTTTCCTCTCTTCCCCCTTCCTCTCTTCCGCCCCCATCAGACCATACGCGCCAACATGAGTTATCGCAGTCGCCTGCGGCCACTCCACACAGGCCCGGCAGACTTCCCTCCTTGGCTGCTCGCCCGAGTGCACTCTCACCGCTTCATGGCCTCGGCTATTGACAACGCTGGGAAGGTGAGGGGAGCGCGTGGAGGGTAGGGGTGTGATGGAGGCTGGGATTGGAGTCGATCCAAACTACACCTACTCGCCCGGGTGCACGCCCACCGCTTCATGGCCTCTGCCAGCGACAATGCTGGGCAGGTGAGGGGGGGTTGCGTGGGAAGGGCTGGCGTGGGGGGTAAGACACGGGGTCCTGGCTGTAAGCCTGTGCAAGTATATTCGGTATTCGAGAATAATTCGATATTCGTTCGAATACCCGAATTCGAGAGAATAAGAAATGGCCGTGTATTCGAAAATATTTGCATCACGAGTATTCGTGGATGTAGAATATTCGGCTAATGGATATTCGGGGTATTTGTTACTATTCGGTATTCTACCATGAACACCCTCCCCACCTCCCCCCCTCCCCACATGCGGCTATCGTCTTTGGCAATCTGTCTACAAGAGGCCTCATGAGAACGGTGCTCAAAAGCCTAGCAGGATAGTTGCTGGAGCGGGATTAGGGAAGGTCTTGGTGCGGGATTGAGTCGTGGTGTTGATATTATAAGGTGCATTGTATCACCCTGTGTCGAACATGCATTAGCCGATCAACACTGGCTGTACAACATATATTATTACTCGACACTTATTCGAATTCGGCAGTAATCGAATCGTATTCGTATTCGGTTTTGGGTCAGTATTCGGTCACATAAGAAAACACCCAGTATTCGGACAATATACAGGAACAATATTCGTATTCGTATTCGTTTGTACAGGCTTACCTGGCTGAGGCGTGGTTGATTCCTCAAGTCATGGCAGCTGTTGTCATGACAGCACGTGACTGTTGCCATGGCAGCACGTGACTGTTGTCATGGCAGCACGTGACTGTTGTCATGACAGCACGTGACTGTTGTCATTGCAGCGCGTGACTGTTGTCATTGCAGCACGTGGCTGTTGTCATTGCAGCACGTGACTGTTGTCATTGCAGCACGTGGCTTCATTGCAGCACGTGACTGTTGCCATAGCAGCACGTGACTGTTGCCATTGCAGCACGTGACTGTTGCCATTGCAGCACGTGACTGTTGTCATTGCAGCACGTGCCTGTTGTCGTTGCAGCACGTGGCTGTTGTCATTGCAGCACGTGACTGTTGTCATTGCAGCACGTGACTGTTGCCATTGCAGCACGTGACTGTTGTCATTGCAGCACGTGGCTGTTGTCATGCAGTCCTCTTGCACCCCGCCCCCGTGAGACCTGTCAACCCCTCATCGTCGCAGGGCGTGGTGAACGTGACACAGTGGCTGCTGGAGGAGCCTTTTGACTCGACTCATAAGTCTCTCCCTCCGCTCCCCCTTACCCCTTGCTCTCCTCTCCTTTCAACCGCGCCAACCCATCAACCCCCCTCCGCAGAACATAGTGAACGTGACGCGGTGGCTGCTGGAGGAGCTGCAGCTGACGCCAGGGGAAGACACCGCTGACACCGCGTCACCAACTCCCTCTCCTGTCACCTTCCTGCTTCTCCTCTCCCTCCCTTTACTCTTGCGCCCCGCCCCCCGTCAACCTGTCGACCCCTCGCGGCAGGGTGTGGTTACTGTGACGCGGTGAGCTCACCCCCTGGCTCTCCTCTTCCCTTCTCCCCTCCCCATCAACCCCTCACGGCAGAACATAGTGAACGTGACGCGGTGGCTGCTGGAGGAGCTGCAGGTGACGCCAGAGGATACGGTGGTGGTGAAGATGGATATAGAGGGGTCCGAGTGGGACATCTTCCAAGGTGAGGGAGGGAAGCAGCTGAAGCATGTGAGAAATGTATGTGAGAATTGCATGTGAGGCACAGGGCAGAGGCGCACACCAGAGGGTGCAGGTGACGCCACAGGACACGGTGGTGGCGAAGATGGACATTGAAGGGTCTGAGTGGCCCATCTTTCATGGTGGGTGGGTGGGGCGCAGGGAGGAGGAGTAGGTGCGTGGCGCGTGTGAGGCACAGGGTAAAGGCACACACCAGAGCTGCAGCTGACGCCAGAGGACACGGTGGTGGTGGAGATGGATATAGAGGGGTCCGAGTGGGACATCTTCCAAGGTGGGAGGGTGGGGCGAGCATGTGGGGAGGGGCGAGCAGTGTGGGGTGGGGCGAGCAGTGTGGGGAGGGGCGAGCAGTGTGGGGAGGGGCGAGCAGTGTGGGGAGGGGCAGCCTGGCTGGAGTGTGTGTCACCCTAAACCCCTTTATGGCTCGCCATCATCCTCTCTCTCCATCTCCATTGCCCTTGCCTCACCCCTCTGTGCAGCCTGGCTGGAGTCCCCCCTCATGGCGCAAGTAATCGACGAGCTGTTTGTCGAGGTGCATTACAACCACCCCTCCGTGCACTTAATCTCTCTCATTTCCCTCTTAGAGGTGACTTTTGAGTTCTTTCCCTCTCAAAAGTCTTCTCCCATTTCTCTCTTCATTCCCCTTCTTCCTCATGTTCTTTGCTATGTGCAGCCTGGTTAGAGTCCCCTCTCATGGCACAAGTGATAGACGAGCTATTGGTGGAGGTGCATTACAACCACCCCTCCATGGCCTACTGCTTCCTCATTCCCCTCGCCATTCCCTTGCCTGCATCCCCCTGTCCTTGTACCGACTGTAGCCTGGCTGGCTGGAGTCTCCTCTCATGCCACGGGTGATAGACAAGCTGTTCGTGAAGGCGCACGGCAACCACCCCTTTATAGCCAACCACCCTCTGTCGCCCTCTCTGTTCCTCTGCCACCCCCCCGTCTCTATGTGCTATGTGCAGCGTGGCTGGAGCCCCCCCTCATGGCATGCACGAGTAATCGATGAGGCACTCGTGAAGGTGCATTACAACAACCACCCCTCCATGCACTTCTTCATCATCATTTCCCTCTCCCTTCCCTTGCTGTGGGGTGCAGCGTGGCTGGAGTTCCCCCTCATGGCACGCACGAGTAATCGATGAGCTGTTTGTCGAGGTGCATTACAATCACCACCCCTCCATGCCCAATCATCCTCCCCTCCCCGTTTCCCCTCCTCACCCACTGTTGCGTTCTCTCCTTGTGTTGCATACAGCCTGGTTGGAATCTCCTATCATGGCACAAGTAATCGACGAGCTATTCGTGAAGGTGCATTACAACCACCCCTCCCTCCATGCACTTCTTCTCCCTCATTTCCCTCTCCATTTCCTTGCCCTCACCACCCCTGTCTCTGTGTGTGTGGGGTGCAGCCTGGTTGGACTCTCCTCTCATGCCACGGGTGATAGACGAGCTGTTTGTGGAGGTGCATTACAACCACCCCTCCATGCACTTCTTCACATGGACGCCGCGCAACTTCCCGCACTCGCGGCAGCAAGCGGGTCAACTGCTCAACGCCATGCGCAGTGCTGGGTACTACGTGCACGCCTGGCCCTGATGGTGCTCTCATCTCATCCAAGGTGCCCTACAGCCACCTCCTTAGGCAGCAAGCAGGCCAGTTGCTCAACGCCATGCGCAGTGCTGGGTACTACGTGCACGCGTGGCCCTGACGGTCTTTCAATATTCAGACTAGGTGCATTTCAACCACCCCTCCATGGTCTACTCCTGGGATCCACACCTTGTTAGGCACGAAGCGGGCCAGCTGCTCAACGCCATGTGCAGTGCTGGGTACTACGTGCACGCCTGGCCATAACACCCCAACTACCATGTGACATGCCTGGCCGTAGCACCGTAGGATAGCTACCGTACCTTACATTGTTGGCCCTGGTGGTATTTTTATACGAGGTGCATTGCAACCACCCCTCTATGCACTTCTTCACCTGGAAGCCGCACATCTTCCCGCACTAGGCAGCAAGCAGGCCAGCGGCTCAATGCCATGCGCAGTGCTGGGTACTACGTGCACGCCTGGCCCTGATGGTGCTCTCATCTCATCCAAGGTGCCCTACAGCCACCTCCTTAGGCAGCAAGCGGGCCAGCGGCTCAACGCCATGCGCAGTGCAGGGTATTACGTGCACGCCTAGCCCTGATAGGGTAGTTACCATACCTTACACACTTTCCGCACTCGAGGCAGCAAGCGGGCCAGCTGCTCAACGCCATGCGCAGTGCAGGGTACTACGTGCATGCCTGGCCTTGATGGGGTAATCTGATAATATGCGAGTCCCTGGTGGAATTTACAGACTAGCAGAAGCAATAGAGCCCTAGCAATGGGGCCGTGGCAATGGAGCCCTAGCAGTGGGGCCCTAGCAATGGATCCCTAGCAGTGGGGCCGTGGCAGTGGGGCCGTGGCAGTGCAACCTTTGCAGCACGCAGCAACGTTTACCACGTGAGATGCGTGGAAGTGCAACCTTTGGAGAGGGCCCACCCCACGTGCTGTAGGTTTTGAGACATCTCAAAAGAGATGCGTGGATGGGTGGAGTGGAGAGGGCCTCCATGCGTACAACCACCCCTCCTGCACTTCTTCTCCTGGGAGCCGAGCCTCTTTGCACACTCAAGGAAGCGGGGCAACTGCTCAATGCTATGCGCAGTGCTGGATACTACGTGCATGCCTGGCCTTGATGCTGCATGCCTGGCCCTACTAGTGTGTTTATATGACATTCCTGGTCTTGGTGTTCTAGTTACCCTTCACGCGCAGCACTTATGGCCTCTGATGGTGTATTTAGTGTGCATTTTCTGATGTAGTGGTCCGTTTTGGCATTAATAGGCTGAGCTCGCTTATTTATTATAATGCATGCTTGGATGAGCTGCAGTGTGAAAACCACAAGCGTTTAGCTAGCTACCATGTCAGGGCGCAAACACCAGTGCTCTAGCAGCAGCAGAAGGAAAACACAAACAAATAACTGTACCTATTTCCATTTACCCTGCCAAAAACCGTCGGTAGCATAAAGCCCCCTCCGTGATCTACAGCAAGTTCCAGATATCTACAGCCCCCACTCTTTGGCACCGAAACGAATAGGTTACAACTGTTGTTCTGTTACGATGCTTATGCTTCTACGGCTCTATTGCTGCTGCTGCTGCTGCTGCCATTTCCTTCAGGCAGCAGAAACGAATTGTAAGCTGCTGCTATTGCTCCTGCTGCTGCCATTTCCACCATCCAGCAGACACCAGGTTGGCGAGGGAGTGAGCGAGCATGGCACTGGCCATGTCACCAGGGAGTGGTGCTGCTATTGCTGCTGCTACTGCAACCACTGCAACTATTGCTGCTGCTATTGCTGCTGCTGCTGCTGCTGCTGCCGTTGCTGCTGCTGCTGCTTCTGCTATTGCTGCTGCTGCTGCCGTTGCTGCTGCTGCTGCTGCTGCTGCTGCTGCTGCTATTGCTGCTGCTGCTGCCGTCGCTGCTGCTGCTGCTGCTGCTATTGCTGCTGCTGCTGCTGCTGCTGCTGCTGCTGCTGCTGCTGCTGCTGCTGCCGTTGCTGCTGCTGCTGCTGCCATTTCCACCATCCAGCAGACACGAGGTTAGCGAGGGAGTGAGCGAGCATGGCACTGGCCATGTCACCCGTCGCCACTGCCAGCACGCCATACACACACCCCACACTCGTAGCCCTGAGGGGTGGAGGCGGGAGATATGGGAGAGGGAGGGAGGGAGGGAGGGAGGGAGGGAGGGAGGGAGGGAGGGAGGGAGGGAGGCAGAGAAGGGGGTGGGTGCATGATGCGTGAAAGCGGTACTTCAAAGTAGAAACCCTCTCTCTACGGATGATGCCCTGGGGAGGGGGGGATGGAGTGATGGGAGGGAGAGAGGGAGGGAGGGAAGGAGGGGGGGAAGGGAGAGGGAGGGGGAGGGAGGAAGGAAGTGGGGGAGGGAGAGAGGGAGGGAAGCAGGGAGGGAAATCCCAAAAACTGCTTGAGAAAAGGAGCGGCGAACCAGGCAAAGCAAATTTTGGAAATGGTAAAGACAGCGTGAGCAACAAGGAGGGAACGGGAGCAATGGGAACGGGAGCAACAAGGAGCAGCGTGCGTACCAGGCAGCAAAGGTGAGGTTGCGGTCGCCCGTGACGTGCAGCAGTCCAAAGACGCCCCCCGATACTATCACCCCCGCTGCATTCACCCCCACCAGCGGCAAGAGCGCCCCTCTAAAGAGCAGCTCCTGTGCACGGTTGGAGGTGGGTAGGCAGGGGGAATGAATGAGGAGAGCAGGAGAATGAGGATGGCAGGAGGATGAGGATGGCAGGAGGATGAGGATGGCAGGAGGATGAGGAGGGAAGCGGGCGAGTGCTCGTGTGCTGGGAGGCTTGGGTGGCAGCAAGGAAGGCCGGGTAGAGATGCAACAGCATTCAGAACACGCTGACCGCTGGCCGTGGATAATAAGCAGCACTGGCCCACTGGCCATGGATGATAAGGGCGTGTCTCCATTTCGCCCCCGACGGTTCGAACCGTGGACGGTCCGAACTGCGAAATGGTTACCAGCGTCGCATGGTTTCGTAACTTCATTCGTGAAAGTGTTAGCGACGTCGCCAACGATCTGAACCGTCGCGTCACTTTTTACTCTTTTCAACGGTTCAGAATCTGAACCCTTCACAGTTCGGAAACCAAACGGACGGTGCATCAGTACTAACTAGAGATTGGCGTGCGATTTTTTCGGAAAATGTGAAAGAAGATTGGCTTACGAAATTTGCAGTAAAGCTGTCGTGAATTTTGTAACGAAGCTACAGTGTCTCTAGCGAGGCTACAGTACTTCGGGAAATTCAAAACACTGAAAAAAGTGACATTCTTGCACTCGGATGGGGCAAAGTTCTGAATGACAATTCGAACAGTCCGGTACCTAAAAAGTGAACCGTCCAGAAAATTGCCAAAAATATAAAAGGAGACACGCCCTAAGCAGCACGCAACGCACCTCGGAGATGCCTGGGAGGAGTCCAATGGAGGAGCCCCACTTAGGCAGCATGACTTTGCGTGGCAGCAGCTTAAACACCTTTTTAGAGAAAAGATGGTGGTACACGCATCACGCACCTCGGAGATGCCTGGGAGGAGCGACACCCAGATGAGGTCCGTGGCGTTAAGGTTGGAGAGTGCTCGCGTGTTTGAGGAATTAGTGGCAGCAAGGAAGGCTGGGGAGAGACGCAGCAGAGCAAGGCGAGCAGCTGACACGATGGCTGCTGCTGCGAGGGCGAACGGTATGCTGGCTGGTGATAGGGTCACTGGGGGGTGGATGGAGGGGTGGAGAGGGGTGAAAGTGGGTGGGAGAGAGTTGAGGTGGGGAGGGGCGCAGGAGAGCAAGGCGAGCTGCTGACACAATGGCTGCTGCTGCGAGGGCGAACGGTATGCTGGCTGGTGATAGGGTCACTGGGGGTTGGATGGAGGGGTGGAGGGTGGTTGGGGGGGTTGAATGGGCGTTAAGGGGAGCTGGGATTGAAGCGTAAAGGAGGGTTAGTGTAGAGGGGTGGATAGAGGGGTGGAGAGGGGTGAACAAGCGTTGAGGGGGGTTGGAATGAAGGGTAAAGGAGAGGTAGTGTAGAGGCGGATAAGAAGAAAACGATGGCAGGGCTGCCAAAGGCACGGTGGAGAGCGATAAAGTATGGCGGAGAGTGGTTGAGCAAGGTGGAGAGTGATATAGGCATGGAGGAGGAGAAACAAGAGAACTAGGAGGAAGAGGAGGACAAAGAGGCCAGTCATGCCGCTCATTCTCTCCCATGCCATTCATACACTCAGATGCCAGTAATGCCCTCACATGCCATTCATATAATCAGATGCCAGTAATGCCCTCACATGCCATTCATACACTCAGATGCCAGTAATGCCCTCACATGCCATTCATACACTCAGATGCCAGTAATGCCCTCACATGCCATTCATACACTCAGATGCCAGTAATGCCCTCACATGCCATTCATGCCCTCACATGCCATTCATGCCCTCACATGCCATTCAGGCCCGCACATGCCATTCATGCCCTCACATGCCATTCATACACTCAGATGCCAGTAATGCCCTCACATGCCATTCATGCCCTCACATGCCATTCATGCCCTCACATGCCATTCATGCCCTCACATGCCATTCATGCCCTCACATGCCATTCATGCCCTCACATGCCATTCATGCCCTCACATGCCATTCATGCCCTCACATGCCATCATGCTCCCACATGCCCCTCATTCACGCATACATGCCATTCATTCACGCATACATGCCATTCATTCACGCATACATGCCATTCATTCACGCATACATGCCATTCATTCACGCATACATGCCATTCATTCACGCATACATGCCATTCATTCAAGCATACATGCCATTCATTCACGCATACATGCCATTCATTCACGCACATGGCATGGCTTGAAAGCAGTCAGTGATGGGCGCACCGGCGTCATGCCCCCAGGAGGATAGCTGGTGGAAGATGGGCGGAGGTGGGGCAGGGAGGAATGGGGGAAAGGGAGGAAAGAGTGAGAGAAGTGGGAGATTCAGGAATCCACTGTGGCAATGGGATAGGTGGAATGGAGCGGCGCCTTTTGAGGCGCCTCAAAAGATGGAATGGAGCGGCGCCTTTTGAGGCGCCTCAAAAGATGGAATGGAGCGGCGCCTCAGGAGATAGGTGGGGGTGAGATGGGTGGGGGTGAGATGGGTGGGGGTGGGATGGGTGGGGGTGAGATGGGTGGGGGTGAGATGGGTGGGGGTGAGATGGATGGGGGTGAGATGGGTGGGGGTGAGATGGCTGGGGGTGGGATGGGTGGGGGTGAGATGGGTGGGGGTGAGATGGGTGGGGGTGAGATGGGTGGGGGTGAGATGGGTGGGGGTGAGATGGATGGGGGTGAGATGGGTGGGGGTGAGATGGGTGGGGGTGAGATGGGTGGGGGTGAGACTGGCCGTGGTAGCACTCTAGTTGTGTGACAACTCAAACCAGATCATGAGATACTGCTGGGTGCAGCGATGGGCTGAATACCGGAGTCTCAAGTTTCCCCAAATTGCCTCATCTCTTCTACCTTTGGTTGGGTGTCACCAAGTTGATAGCTACCGACTTCACTGATCGTCTCGGTAGCGCCATTTCTCGAAATTATTGCACTGGCAAAGTCGATTGGCGTGCGAAGGGTCACACATAATTCAGGTAAAGATTGATTGAAGTGCGATTGTTTTTCAGTCACGAAGTGAAGCGCAAAGGATTTCCTGAGTTGCAGCCCAGCTTTGGTAACTCTGGTGATAGTGTTTCATTTCGTGACCTACATCTTTTGAGGCGACTTTTGAGGCGACTTTTGAGGCGCCTCAAAAGTAACTCTGGTGATAGTGTTTCATTTCGTGACCTACATCGAGCTATTTTCGGCACCACCCTGTTTCACAGGCCAATCCCTTCTCCTGCCCCAACCAACCTTCCTCCGTTTGAAAGCTATGGACCTCGGGTATTAAGTGGCTTTGCGGAGCAATGGGGATTGTGGGGAGGGTGGGGAAGGGGGGAGAGGGGGGAGAAGGAGCTGATGTCAAGAAAGTCAACGAGCCACCCACCTGTCTGACCAGCAGCCCAGCTACGGCCAAGCCTCCTGAAGTGGTTAGACACGCCCGCCAAACCTCCTCTCTAGGAGCGACAGCGACAGGAGCAGCAGGGACAGCAGGGGCAGCAGGGGCGGAAGAGGAAGTAGAATCTGGAGAGACGGGTGCAGCTATCGGCGGTGGCTTTTTAGTTGACTCGGAAGAGGAAGGAGAAGGTGGAGAGGTATCGGGTGTAGCTATGGATGGCGACGGTTGACCCGGTTGACTCAATTGACCTGATTGACTCAAATTCATTGACGCCTGGGTCAACTCGAAAATTTCCTGGGCTGATTTCTCTGGCCGCTCTGGTTGAATTGGTTGACTTGATTGACTGTCATTCAAGCGGTCCTGCTGCTGCCGGCTCGGCGCGCTGGACGGAGAAGGTTTGTTGGCGGCCTTCCTGCTGCCACGCGACTGTTTCGCGCTGCTTCCAGATTGTCGCTTGGCAGCTCGTGCGACGCCTGCTTTGCGCTGCGAGCCGACGCTGCGATGGTTCGCGACGGTCTGCGACTGCTTATACATGCGACTGCGACGCGACTGCTTGAGCGGGAGCTCGGCGACGAAAAGCGAGCAACGCCATGGTGCCTCACGGCGGATGGCGAGAGCAACTGATTGTGCGGTTACCATTGGCGAAAGCCTACATGTTTTCGCACGGGATGGAAATCCTGTTCCGAGCGAGGGTGCGCACGCGTGCATCGCGCGTGAATGCGGAGGATGCGTCGGTCGCCGGCTCGACGGGCGGAGCGCTGGAGGATCACCGGCTCGCGGAGGAAAGGCGAGCGAGTTAGCTGTGCTATCAGAATGTAACACGGGGTGAATGCGCAGCAACTTCAATTCTATTTGCTCTGTGTGCTCAGTGGATTTGTGAGGATATCTTATCTGAAGCGAGGTTCGAGAACGAATGAAGTGGGTGCTGACGAACCGGGTGAGTCAGCACACCCTGTTTCGCGAAAGCGTACGCACACATCTTCGCGATAGAAAACCGGTTGGGCGAAAGATCAATCTTTGCCCAACCGAGAGGAACTTCCACACTCGTCGAACTTCCAATCAAACTAACAGGTCGAGTTCTCGCAGCTCACAGTAACTTCTCTGCATAGGGTAACCGCTTAATATCTGATATGAAACTCGTGATTGTACTCCCTCCTGCGCAACGCACCCACGCATACACGTGATTGTTCTCGTTACAATCTCTAGCATACGTACTCGACTCAAAATGACACGAGTTTTCCTTTCCTCGCTGTGAAACACTTAGCTGCCATTATAGTACTTCGTCCGCACCTTTGGAGCGCGTCGTCCGAGCAGTACCCACGTCTACGTTAGACAGGCTCATTCGCCCTTAGCGGAAGAGGGCGACCGCTGTTTAGGTCGTGGAACATAATCATTTTCGGCCAGCACTTTCACCTGGCATTTACTCGACCATTTAGTTTCGCCAACGGTTCGCGAACGACGGCCATTTCGCGACTGAGATCGCTTCGATAACCGCAGGTCCGCGCACCGCAACGAGGAAGGCGCGCCGGCAGGAAGGAAGCCGGACTTGCTCCGCCAGTGCCCGCTGCCATCCCAGCTCTGAGTCGATTTTGGAGTCGACTCAAAAATCGTCTCATCACAAGCGCCAGCAAGGAGGAAAGCCGGCGGACGTGCTCCGCCAGTGCCCTCTGCGATCCGATCGCAGCTCTGAGGCACCTCTCACATTTACCAGCCAGAGGAAGTTGATTGGGCGTTTCGTCGCCCTCCCTCAGCGATCCATTTACGATCCATTTGCGATCTGCGATCCCGCTGCGATCTCTCTGCGATCCCTCTGCGACCTGCGATCCCTCTGCGATACCGCTGCGATCTCTCTGCGATGGCTCAAGTACCCACCGACGTGCTTCTCCGGTGAGGCGCGCGAGAGGGAAGAGGGGGATGAGGCACGGGGAGAAATAAAGGAAGAGGACAGAGGTGAGTGAGGCAAGGAAGGAGGAGCGGGGAGGCGAGGAGAGATGAGGGAAGCATCGAGCCGCCTGTGCTCTGTCACCCGGCCCATCCATGCCCGCGCATGCATCCCGCCCCCCACTCCCTCACCCTTCTCCTCCCTCATCCCTCCCTACCATGACCCCTGACAGGGCGTTGAGGGAGGAGGTGGCGGCGATAGCGGCGCTGAAGCAGGCCATTCGAGACAAGCTGCACGTGCTGCAGGTGGGCGTGGGGTGGGGGTGGGGGTGGGGACTTTTGAGGCGCCTCAAAAGGGTGGGGTTGGAGGCGGGGAGCATGGGGTGGCAGGGTGGTGGGCAGGTGGGGGTGGGTGGGTGGGGGCTTGGGGTGGTGGTGACGATAAGTGCCTCATAAGCAGGCCCTCGAGACAAGCTGCACGTGCTGCACGCGGGGAGTGGGGTGTGCCATGGTGGGTGGGTGGGTGGATGGGATGAGGTAGTGCACGGCAAGGAGTACCACAGAAGCAGCATGGCATGTAGCTTGAACGATCCATAAAAACTATGCGCGCGAAATGACCGCATTTGTTGCTAGTGACCTTTGCGTGCCTCTGGCATGCCCCCATGCCATGCTCCCATGCCATGCCCTCATGCCATGCCCCCATGCCATGCCCTCATGCCATGCCCATGCCTCCATGCCCTGCCCATGCCCCCATGCCATGCCCATGCCTCCATGCCCATGCCCCCATGCCCTGCCCATGCCTCCATGCCATTCCCATGCATCCATGCCAAAACCATGCCCCCATTCCATGTCTCTCCATGCCATGGCTCCATGCATCCATGCTCGGCTGCCACCATGTGGGCAGGTAGACGAGCCCCCCGGTCATGCCCCTATGCCGCCCATGTCCTCATGCCATGGCCCCATTCCCCTATGCCGCCCTGCTTCCCATCCCATGTGCGTTCTCACGCAGGCAGGTGGACGAGGCGAGCATGATGGAGATCCTCGCGCAGGCGGACGCCCCACCCATCCCTCCGCCATGGCCCATGCCCCCCTACCCTCCCCATGCCCCCCTACCCTCCCCATGCGCCCCTACTGTACCCCGTGCCCCCTTCTCAACAGGTGGACGAGGCGAGCATGATGGAGATCCTCGCGCAGGCGGACGCCCCACCCGCCGTCAGAGCAGCCGCTGCTGCTGCTGAAGCGCACATGCACAAAAGCGCTGGGGGAAGTGGAGATGGGGGAGGGGGCGCGGATTGGGGCGGGGAAGAAAGGGAGGGGGCGGGGGAGGAGGAAGGGGAGGAGGAGATGAGTCTGGACGATATGGTGGCTGGGCTGGCGGAGGAACTTGAGAGGGAGATGGGGGGTGGCGGGGGGCATGTGGGGGGACATGTGGGCGGTGGGGGGCAAGTGGGCAGTGGGGGGCAGGGGGGGAATGCAGGCAGGGGGGAAGGAGTGGGGGAAGGTGGGGGAGGAGGAGGAGGGGGAGGAGGGGGAGGAGGAGATGAGTTTGGATGATCTGGTTGCGGGGCTGGCGGAGGAACTGGAGAGAGAGATGGGGGGTGGCGGGGGGCACATGGGGGGCGATGGGGGCCATGGGGGTGGTGAGGGGCATGGGGCCGGTGGGGGGCATGTGGGGGGGCATGAGGGGGGTGGTGGGGGCCACGCGGATGCAGACAGTGGGGGAGGAGGAGGGGATGAGTTTGGATGATCTGGTGGCAGGGTTGGCGGAGGAGCTTGAGAGAGAGTTGGGGGGCGGCGGGGGGCATTTGGGGGGAAATGTGGGCGGTGGGGGGCATGTGGGGGAGCATGAGGTTCATGGTGGGGGGCACGTGGATGCAGGCAGAGGGGGAGGAGGGGGAGCAGAGGGGGGAGGGGGAAGTGGGGGAGGTGGATCGGCGGGTGAGATGGAGAGAGGGGCGGGGGATGGTGTGGCGGATGCAAGAAGCTGATGAGGAGATGATGAGTTTGGATCATTTGGTTGCATTGCAGGGCCAAACTGCATGAACCCCCTGCAACCATCTCATTTGGTTGCAGGGCTGGCTGGCGGAGGATGTGGAGAGAGATGGGGGGTGGTGGGTGGGGGCATGAGATTCTTGGGGGGGATGCACTGCAGGCAGTGGAGGCGGATTCATGCGGGGGAAATCATGGGGCATGCACGAGGGAAAGCAGACACGGTAGCGAGGGGGGAGATGAGCGGAGATGTGGGGGTGGGGAGGTGGAGGTTCAGAGAATGCAGTACGCAAGACCCTAGACGGGGGAGAATGCTACGCCTCGCAAGCTTATGCAGACCAGATAGGGGCGATGGGGAGAAGCTGAAATTGGCGAATCGTGTGATGGTGTGTGTTGTGGAACGAAAGATTCGAGTGAGAAGGCGGGGACAGGCTGGAGAAGGCGCTTTTGAGTCGACTCAGAACCTGAAATTGGAGAATCTTATGATGGTGTGTGGTGTGGAAGGGAAGATTCGAGTGAAATGAAGGGGACGGGCTGAAGAAGGCGAAGGGTCAGCAGGCGTGATGCACATGGGAAGAGGGAGACTGGGGGATGATGGGTGGAGGAGGTAGAGGAGAGAGAGGAAGGAGAGGAGGGAGAGGAGGGAGTGGAAGAAGGAGGACAAGTGTTTTTATCAGTTGGAATGGTAAGTTGAGGCAGTGAAATGGTGGGGAGGGTAGGGGCTGTGGTGTGAGGAGGGCTGCTGAGGGTACAGGGAGGGCAGGGGGAAGGCGGGGGGAAAGGCGAAGGGGAGGGGAGACGGAAGGGATTGAAGCACAGGGATGACGCGGGAAGGGCTGGCGGTATGGGAAGGGGTGACTGCATGGGAAGGGGTGACTGCATGGGAAGGGGCAGTGGCACTGTGGCATGGACGGCACGAGGCTTGGGTAGCGCAGGGCGGCAGGGGGGCATGAGGAGGATGGGGGAAGTGTGTGTTTTTCTTGAAAGGAGAGGAAGGGGCAAAGCATGGGAAAGTGGGATAGGATGGTTGGTGGGTGAAGGGGGCATGCAATGGTGTTACTTTCGAGTATTCTCAAAAGTATCACCAATATTGGATGGTTGGTGGGTGAAGGGGGCATGCAATGGTGTTACTTTCGAGTATTCTCAAAAGTATCACCAATATTGGATGGTTGGTGGGTGAAGGGGGCATGCCATGGTGTTACTTTCGAGTATTCTCAAAAGTATCACCAATATTGGATGGTTGGTGGGTGAAGGGGGCATGCAATGGTGTTACTTTCGAGTATTCTCAAAAGTATCACCAATATTGGATGGTTGGTGGGTGAAGGGGGCATGCAATGGTGTTACTTTCGAGTATTCTCAAAAGTATCACCAATATTGGATGGTTGGTGGGTGAAGGGGGCATGCAATGGTGTTACTTTCGAGTATTCTCAAAAGTATCACCAATATTGGATGGTTGGTGGGTGAAGGGGGCATGCAATGGTGTTACTTTCGAGTATTCTCAAAAATATCACCAATATTGGATGGTTGGTGGGTGAAGGGGGCATGCAATGGTGTTACTTTCGAGTATTCTCAAAGTATCACCAATATTGGATGGTTGGTGGGTGAAGGGGGCATGCAATGATGTTACTTTCGAGTATTCTCAAAAGTATCACCAATATTGGATGGTTGGTGGGTGAAGGGGGCATGCAATGGTGTTACTTTCGAGTATTCTCAAAAGTATCACCGATATTGGATGGTTGGTGGGTGAAGGGGGCATGCAATGGTGTTACTTTCGAGTATTCTCAAAAGTATCACCAATATTGGATGGTTGGTGGGTGAAGGGGGCATGCAATGGTGTTACTTTCGAGTATTCTCAAAAGTATCACCGATATTGGATGGTTGGTGGGTGAAGGGGGCATGCAATGGTGTTACTTTCGAGTATTCTCAAAAGTATCACCAATATTGGATGGTTGGTGGGTGAAGGGGGCATGCAATGGTGTTACTTTCGAGTATTCTCAAAAGTATCACCAATATTGGATGGTTGGTGGGTGAAGGGGGCATGCAATGGTGTTACTTTCGAGTATTCTCAAAAGTATCACCAATATTGGATGGTTGGTGGGTGAAGGGGGCATGCAATGGTGTTACTTTCGAGTATTCTCAAAAGTATCACCAATATTGGATGGTTGGTGGGTGAAGGGGGCATGCAATGGTGTTACTTTCGAGTATTCTCAAAAGTATCACCAATATTGGATGGTTGGTGGGTGAAGGGGGCATGCAATGGTGTTACTTTCGAGTATTCTCAAAAGTATCACCAATATTGGATGGTTGGTGGGTGAAGGGGGCATGCAATGGTGTTACTTTCGAGTATTCTCAAAAGTATCACCAATATTGGATGGTTGGTGGGTGAAGGGGGCATGCCATGGTGTTACTTTCGAGTATTCTCAAAGGTATCACCAATATTGGATGATTGGTGGGTGAAGGGGGCATGCAATGGTGTTACTTTCGAGTATTCTCAAAAGTATCACCAATATTGGATGGTTGGTGGGTGAAGGGGGCATGCGATGGACAGAGATGGGTCACGGACCTGGTGACTGCTGTGGGAAGCATGAGTGCTGAGTCATGGTGGGTGAAGCGCGGGGGTTGACTGACAGTCAGGGGACTGAAGGAAGTAGAAAAGATGGGTTTTTTTCCTCCCTCCTTCCCCTCTCCCTCCCCCCCTTATCTCCTCCCTCCCTTTTCTTCCCACTACTTCCCTAATGTGCCATGTGTTTTCTTCCTCCTTCCATTCCACATTGTTACCATTGCTGAGCATTGAGCACCTCTTCTCCAAGGTGACTTTTGAGTCGACTCAAAAGTCACATTGTTATCATTGCTGAGCATTGAGCACCTCTTCTCCCTCTCCTAGGCCTGCCAGCGTTGAATGAGGCACTCCTTGCCTCCTCGCATCATCTCATGCACAACACGCTACGCACAACACGCTATGCTTTCCCTCACCCCCTTCCCCTTTTCACCTTTTCTCCCATCTCACTCGACTGCGCTTCCCTCTGCTCTCCCTAATCAATCCGCCTTTGCGTCGCCACTCCTTTCAGGCGGACTCATGTCATGTCATGTCATGTCATGTCATGTCACGGCTACAGGCAGTGTGTGCAAGGCGTCACATGCATTCAGAAAGACTGGAGTCGAAGTTATTTTCTCTGACTATTGTTCCTGCCTTGTGCTCAAGGAAAGCTAATGTCGTGTGGTACTAGTTCCTGCCTAGTTGTGCTGTGAATGTGGCGTAAATCCCTTGCAGCAGGTAGGGCCTTGTCAGCAAAATGGGAACACCTTAAACGAGAAAGCAAGCATGAACTGAAATCCACCCTAACATGACAGCACTGGCTTTTATGTCGTGTTGCAAAACAATTGGCTGCATGATATGAGATGTCCATATTGTGGAACAAATATCTCAACATACAGACACACAGGACACGCCGTGCGCTGCACGGTGTGCTTGCGGTCAGCCATAACAGCATGATGCGGCCCAGCCCTGCCTCCTACAGGTAGTAGGTATTTGCGAGGCGCCTCATAAGCAGACCCATGCTACACGGTGTGCTTGCGGTCAGCCATAACGCGCATGATGCAGCCAAAATGTTGATAATAACACAGAGAAACACACGGGCTGCACTGCACGCTATACGGTGTGCTTCCTGTCAGCCATAACGCGCATGATGCAGCCCAGCCCTGCCTTCTCCGTCAGCTTCTCATGCACCCGCAGCGCCCGCGCACACAGCGATGCATCCCCCGTCCTCAGCGCTCGGTACAGGTACCTGCCGGGAGGGCAAGGTCATGTGGGGGGGCACGTGAGTATGGAGGAGGGGCACAGCGGGGTGCAGGGGGCACGGCGGGGTGCAGGGGGCACGGCGGGGTGCAGGGGGCACGGCGGGGTGCAGGGGGCACGGCGGGGTGCAGGGGGCACGGCGGGGTGCAGGGGGCACGGCGGGGTGCAGGGGGCACGGCGGGGTGCAGGGGGCACGGCAGAGTGGGGTGAAGGAGCACACAGCAATGCATCCCCCGTCCTCAGCGCTCGGTACAGGTACCTGCAGCGGCATGGTGGTTGGGGGGTACATTGGGGTGGAGGGGCACGGCAGGGTGAGGGAGCAGGGCGGGCTGACATGGAAAGGTGTGGAAAGGTGTGGCAGACATGGGTGGTGGCGCTTCATAACAAGTAGGCACGGTGCAAGAGTGAAGGTGGTGGACGGTATGAGGGACAGGCGAGTGTCACTCGTGGCATGGTGGGACAGACAGGTGGAAAAAGGGACAAGCGCAAGATGGATGGTGGGGAGGAAAGAGAGAGAGAGGTGCTGGAAGAGAGAGAAAGGGAGAGAGAGGAAACGTGGGAGCAAGGAATGGGAAGAGAGCGAGGCATGAGACCGAGTAACATCAGCAGTGGAGAGTGCAGCGGAAACAGTTGAAAGAGCAGCAACAAAACAGGAGCGGGACCAACTCAACCTTTTGGCCGCTAGCCCCCCACTGCACCAACTCAGAAGGCAACATACACTCAGCACTCACCGCATGAGTGTGTCATGTCGCACTCCTCGGATTTCAACCCTGCGATGGCCCCATCCACATCCTCCTCCGCCACCAGCGCGCCAAGTTTTGAGTCGACTCTACAGCCACACAGCACTCACCCGCACAGCAGGGCAAGGAATGGCAGCACACAGCATTACTCACCGCATGAGCGTGTCGCACCCCTCGGACTTGAGCCCTGCAATGGCCCCATCCACGTCCTCCACTCTACTGCCACCAGCGCTCTGACTTGTGAGTCGACTCACCCATCTTACGCAATCTTCCCTACTCAAGCACACAGCACTCACTCACCGCATGAGTGTGTCGCACCCCTCGGATTTCAACCCTGCAATGGCCCCATCCACATCCTCCACTGCCACCAACGCCCGCTGCACCACCTCCCAGTTGGCGTCCTGCTCGCACGGGAGGGCAACGAGTGGAAGGAAATTTGTGAATGAAGAATAGGACTGCGCCAGCGCCTGCTGCACGGAGCGGCACCGGCGCCCGCTGCACGGAGCGGCACGGAGCGGCACCGGCGCTCGCTGCACCACCTCCCAGTTGACGTCCTGCTCGCCCCTCACCTGCATGGGAGGGCAAAGAACGGAATGAAATGGAAGGGATTTAAAAACTGAGTCAAAGGAGAGCATCAGCGCCCGCTGCACCTCCTCCCGGTCAACGTCCTGCGCGCCCCTCAGCAGCACAGCAGGGCACGCAGTGGCACGACAAGGAAGGGGTTTGGCAAATGAGGCAAAGGATTGCGCCAGCGCCCGCTGCACGGAGTGGCATGGAGCGGCACCAGCGCCCGCTGCACCACCTCCCAGTTGGTGTCCTGCGCGCCCCTCACCCGCACAGCAGGGCATGGATTGGAAGGGAAGGAAAGGGATTTAGTGCAGGAGTCAAGAAAGGTTGTGATGTGAGCCAACTCAAATCACACCCGCTGCACCACCTCCCAGTTGGCCTCCTGCACCATCTACCTGCGCGCCCCTCGCCGGCACAGCAGAGCACGGAGTGGCATGGAAAGGAAGAGGTTCAGTGAATGAATCAACGAAGGTTGGCAGACAAATGACTCACAGAATGTTGACCTCACACAGTGCCATACTGTTCTAGAATCTGTCAGTATGGCCGAATGGCATACAGCCATACTGCCTTCTAAAACAGTCTGGCAGTGCGGTTGGACAGGAGCAATGGGTGGAGTGGAATCGACCCGACACAAACTGACTTCGATCGATCCGAGCCAGGTGCAGGTCGGGTTGGGTCGGGTCGACTCGAAGTCGAGTTGAGACTTTTTAAAGCTTTTATAAGTCGAGTTGAGACCTTTTAAAGCATTTATAAGTCGAGTTGAGACTTTTTAAAGCTTTTATAAGTCGAGTTGAGACTTTTTAAAGCTTTTACAAGTCGAGTTGAGACTCTTTAAAGCTTTTATAAGTCGAGTTGAGACTCTTTGAAGCTTTTATAAGTCGAGTTGAAACTCTTTAAAGCTTTTATAAGTCGAGTTGAGACTCTTTAAAGCTTTTATAAGTCGAGTTGAGACTCCTTAAAGCTTTTATAAGTCGAGCCCCCAACCCGACCTGCACCGACCTTCTGACCCAAGCTTTTATAAGTCGAGCCGAATGAATGAAGGTAATAAGAAGCGTGGCAAGGGACGTGTTGAGCCGCCCCCCCCACTATACCCCCTCACACCCCCTCCCTTTGATCCTGGGCTGTGGCTGCCCGAGCATATTGCAACCAGATGACTTTTGAGTCGACTCAGAAGAGTGGCAAGGGACGTGTTGAGCCGGCCCCCCTACTATACCCCCTCACACCCCCTCCCTTTGCTCCTGGGCTGTGGCTGCCCGAGCATATTGCAACCAGATGACTTTTGAGTCGACTCAGAAGAGTGGCAAGGGACGTGTTGAGCTGGCCCCCCTACTATACCCCCTCACACCCCCTCCCTTTGCTCCTGGGCTGTGGCTGCCCGAGCATATTGCAACCAGAATTCACAAGTTGGGTCTCCCTCTCGCACATTAAAGCCAAGCCCAGCGCACCTTGCACTTTTGGTCGCGCGTGGCGATGGGAGGGTCGCTCACAGCCGCCTTGAGCGCCTCTGGCACTCGACCCCTGCAGGCTCGTGCACCCAAGAAAGGGGGAGGGGGGAGAGAGGGGGAGGCGGGAAGGCGCCGGGAGGAGAAGGGATGGCAATGGGAGGGTCGCTCACGGCCGCCTTGAGCGCCTCTGGCACTCAACCCCTGCAGGTTCCAAGCACGCAGGAGGGGAGGAGAAGGTAAGAGGGGAGAAGGGGTGGCGATGGGCGGGTCGCTCACAGCCGCCTTGAGCGCCTCTGGCACTCGACCTCTGCAGGGCAAGTGCCGTGCACGCAGGGGAAGGAGGGGGGGAGAGGGGGGGGGGGAGGACGGGGCGGAAGGCAGGGCGGGGAGAGGCTTTGGCGATGGGAGGGTCGCTCACGGCCGCCTTGAGCGCCTCTGGCACTCGACCCCTGCAAGCCCCATGCGCCCGGGGAGAGGGGGGGAAACGGGGGGCGAGGAGGGGGAGGTGGGGGGAGGTGGGGGGAGGTGGGGGGGAGAAGGGTTGGCGATGGGAGGGTCGCTCACGGCCGCTTTGACCGCCTCTGGCACTCGACCCCTGCAGGGCAAGCGCCGTGCACGCAGGGGAAGGAGGGGGGGAGAGGGGGGGGGGGGAGGACGGGGCGGGAGGCAGGGCGGGGAGAGGCTTTGGCGATGGGAGGGTCGCTCACGGCCGCCTTGAGCGCCTCTGGCACTCGACCCCTGCAAGCCCCATGCGCCCGGGGAGGGGGGGGGACGGGGGGCGGGGAGGGGGAGGTGGAGGGAGGTGGGGGGGAGAAGGAGTGGCGATGGGAGGGTAGCTCACGGCCGCTTTGACCGCCTCTGGCACTCGACCCCTGCAGGCCCTGTGCACGCGGGGGAGGAGAGGAGGGTGAAGGGGGGAAGAGGTGAGAAAGAGAGGGGGGGGGGGTGGGAAGGGGGAAGGGGGAAGGGGGAAGGGGGAAGGGGGAAGGGGGAAGGGGGAAGGGGGAAGGGGGAAGGGGGAAGGGGGACCACCTCACCACCACACGTGGATGAGCGCCTCTGGAGATGACCCGTGCAGCCCCCCTGCACGCGGGGAGAATGAGGGGAAGGGGGAAGGGGGAAGGGGGAAGGGGAAGGGGGAAGGGGGAAGGGGAAGGGGAAGGGGGGAGGGGAAGGGGTGAGAAGGTGGGAATAAGTGCACCATCATGGTCACGCATGGGAGCAGTTGAGCACATTCGCATGAAGGGAGCGAGAGGGGCGCATGCAGGGAGCCATAGAGGCGCATGCAGGGAGCAATAGAGGCGCATGCAGGGAGCAATAGAGGCGCATGCAGGGAGCAATAGAGGCGCATGCAGGGAGCAATAGAGGCGCATGCAGGGAGCCATAGAGGCGCATGCAGGGAGCAATAGCGGCGCATGCAGGAAGCGTGGGGGGGCCGATTGGGGGAGAGAGTCGAACGGAGGGAGCGGGATTGGGGAATGGAGGGGCGAATGGAGCGAGCAGGGGGGACAGATGCAGGGAGCGAGAGCGGCGAAGGGATGGGGAGAGAGGGGCAAATGCAGGAATCGTGAGGGACGAATGCAGGTAGCGAGAGAGGAAAATGCACGGACCGTTGCCATTGGCATGAGGGGACGAGGGGGTGGGTGATCGAATGGCAGGCGACGCGGGAGAAGCGGCGCACGCGGGAGAAGCCTCTCACTCGGACAGGAAGTGCACGACGCGCTGCGAGCGATCGTCGATCTTGGCGAGGATCTCCTCGGGGCTCTCCGCGTCAGCATCGTCGTCCGAGCCCATCGCCAGCTCCTCCTCCTCCGCCATCCCCGCCGATCCCCGCCGATCTCTACTACGTCCCGCTGCCCGCTGCCCGCCACCCGCTGCGACCCCCTGAGCGCCGCTACGATGCCGCGACTGTGTGGCCGGAGTACGTGGCTCAACTGGGTGAGTCGCCACTGCCCTACTGCCTTCCCGCCTAAGCACTTAACATACAGCAAACACTAGGAGCGGTGTGGGAGAAAGCCCACCTGATGTTTAGAGCTACGCTAGAACGATAGGTCAGGACTGGATACTAAGAGGTCAGCGAGTGGGACGGAAATCGTGGAACCTAGGGTTCGGCAAAATGTCGTGAAGACACTGTCGGCAGCCTAGAATGTCCGACCGCTAGGACCCGTTTCGGTGGAGAGAAGTCGGGTCAATTTCGTTCCGATGTCGGTTACCAAGTTCCCTCTTGGGTGTGACTAAACGCGAAGAGTGGACGACGCGTTACCCGAGCCGCGGTACGCGTTTCGGTTTGCATATAATATGTTTGAGATGTCATAGATTCGAGTGCTTCATTTAGTAATCAAAGTAATTTAGATTGGTTGCATCAGCCCTGATCAGAAGGCCATGTTGAATCACAAACAGTACTATTGAGAAAGCTTGCTTTCTGGTTATTGCAAGGCAACGTGCTTCATTTTAATTGGGTAATTACAACATTCTCGTCCAACTTAGCATTACACAAAGATCAACTAGGGGCGGGCGGGGGGGAAGCGGAACTGAAAGTTCCGAAATGAAGACGTGGGTGGAGGCCAAATGGCCTCCAACCCTCGTTATATACTCAGGAACAAGCATTCGCAGTTGCCTTGCTTCACTACAGTCAGCTGCGCTTTCACAATCTTTATTTTTAGAAAGTGATACCCACTTTAAAAAAAATTCATATTGAGAAAGCTTGCTTTCTGGTTATTGCAAGGCAACGTGCTTCATTTTAATTGGGTCTTCTGTGACATGTGCGTGCGTTGGGAGAGTGTGGATCGTGGAGCTGGTTGATGGCGACGTCCAGTGACATCAATTGTTGCTGCCGGTCGTTGCGTTCTATGTCGACGTGGTCATTTGTTGGTGGAGTGGGGAGCCATGGTTTAGAATGATTGTTGTGCTGACATCCGCGGTGGAGAAGATGGTTGTTGAAGACGGCCCATGTGTCAGAGATGAGGCTCCGAGTGTTGCGCAGCGACTGATGCAGCGATGTTGATCTTGTTTGGCAAATGACGGTGTGTAGGGTCTTGGACTAGTGACGTGTTAGCAAGAATGGATGCTTGAATTTGAAAACTGGAGCTGACGGACCAAACATGGAGGAAAGAATGTCATTTGGTTACGTTAGAAGTTGATGCTTTGGTGGTGGGTCTGTCAGACAAAGTTAATGTGTGGCCTTTCATATTTGCGATCGGCGCAGGGTACAAAAAAATTAGATTGGGAAACTAAGGTGCCCAGAATGAGGTGTAGTCGCAGGGTAGCGGCAGATATTGAAATATGATGCCTAGAGGAGCGGTACGGTATGCGTCATCCATAAGGATGTGGGTTCGTAAGAATAATGTTGTATAACAAGACCTCAAGCCATGCGTTACTAACCTATCGGTTGCTTGTCTCCCGGCCCATTTTGTTGTTTGTCTCTTGGCCCATCGGGTGCCTGGTGCTCATCTCTTGGCCCATTGGGTGCTCATCTCTTGGCCCATCGGTTAATTGTCTTGTGGCCCATCAGGTGCTCGTCTCATGACCCATCAGTTGCTCGTCTCGTGGTCCATCGGCTGCTTGTCCAGTAACCCATCAATTGTTCATCTCTTGGCCCATCGATTGCTCGTCTCATGGCCCATCAGTTGCTCGTCTCATGGACGATCGGTTGCTCATCTCGTGGCCCATTATTTGCTTGTCCATTAACCCATCAAATTCTCATCTCTTGGCCCATCGGTTGCTCGTCTCGTGGCTCATCGGTTGCTCGTCTCACAGCCCGTCGGTTGCTCGTCTCATGGCTCGTTGGTTGCTCGTCTTGTGGCCCGTTGATTGCTCGTCTCGTGACCGTTGGTTGATCGTCTCATGGACCGTCGTTGCTCACAGACCCTCATATTCGTTTGAGGGTACATTGAGGCCTCAGGGCAGTTTGGTAGGAAGTCGAATTTTTGTCCTGATTTGTCAGGGCTGGACTGGGAGAGGTTTGCTGAACCTTCATTACGGAATTTGACGGTAGCCTGGCAGATTAGTGCTACATTACATATATCTAACAGCATCTTGCAAACTTGGCCATGCTTTTCCTGCGTGTTAAGTCAGCGGCACACTCATATTAGTAGTTATTACAGCAATGATGCGTTTCCAGGTTTGGGCGCGGTCTGGTTTTGCGCGAGCCATGCAACAAAAATCAGGGCGACAATCGCGGAGCGTAACATACGTTGTACCAGGTCGATGGTTGGGGTGCACTAGGCCCCGTTGTACGCAGTACTCGCTTCCGAACGAGTCCCGACACTATCCTGACTCATCAGGGCCGGGCCTAAAGCGTTATACCGAATTCTTAGGGTACATTCCGCTGTGGACACTGTCCCAATCGATGTGTCCCAATCGAGTGTACCGCTCCGAACCGAACTAAACCAGAGACGCGAAAATTTCGAAACTAGTGTGCAATTTGGTGTAATACGATGCAGTGCGGTAGAAACGATTGGGACACTTTCGATTAGTACGCAAGATGACCACCACACTGAATTTACATCATCCTTTTTTTTTTTTTTTTTTTTTTTTTTTTCAAGAGAAGCCCACAACACCTATCCTGAATCCAGGAAATTCGGGATATATTATCATGATAACCTAGGGCCTGGTTGCTCGTCTCGTGGCCCGTCGGTTGCTCCTTTCGTGGCCCGTCGGTTGCTCGTCTCTCGGCCCATCGGTTGCTCGCCTCTATCTTGGACCGTAGTGTACTAGTGAATAATGGCTGCAAGACGCTCTCTCCTCCCTCATTGTGCAGTGTAGGTGAGTGAGAAGGTAGGATCCAATATATGTCCTTACTACAGCTGCACTCTACCAACCTTACCAAAGTCAGTCGAATGATTGTTTGTGGCTCCAAAATTCGTTTACAAGACCATGATTGCTTGTGATTATTTTTTTCTATATCATATTGTACACATAATAGCCAATGATACTACATATCGATATAGACAATGATAAGGGTTTTCCCCATCTTAACAAGTCCGCAGATCCCCCCTCCCTAAGAAGGTGGCCCTCTGGCCAGCATACTTCCCCCTCTGGCGTACCTTTCCTTCCCCCTCTGGAAGTGGTTTTGGCATCGAAGCTCGCGGAACTAGGTCCCCTTCCCCCCCTGGGGGCGGCTCTCAGGCCAACTAGGGGACCCTCGGTCCCCTTCCCCCCCTGGGGGCGGCTCTCAGGCCAACTTGGGGACCCTCGGTCCCCTTCCCCCCCTGGGGGCGGCTCTCAAGCCAACTTGGGGACCCTCGGTCCCCTTCCCCCCCTGGGGGCGGCTCTCAAGCCAACTTGGGGACCCTAGGTCCCCTTCCCCCCCCGGGGGCGGCTCTCAAGCCAACTTGGGGACCCTCGGTCCCCTTCCCCCCCTGGGGGCGGCTCTCAGGCCAACTTGGGGACCCTCGGTCCCCTTCCCCCCCTGGGGGCGGCTCTCAGGCCAACTTGGGGACCCTCGGTCCCCTTCCCCCCCTGGGGGCGGCTCTCAGGCCAACTTGGGGACCCTCTGTCCCCTTTCCCCCCTGGGGGCGGCTCTCTGGCCAACTTGGGGACCCTCGGTCCCCTTCCCCCCCTGGAGGCGGCTCTCAGGCCAACTTGGGGACCCTCGGTCCCCTTCCCCCCCTGGGGGCGGCTCTCCGACCAACTTGGGGACCCTCGGTCCTCTTCCCCCCCTGGGGGCGGCTCTCAGGCTAACTTGGGGACCCTCGGTCCCCTTCCCCCCCTGGGGGCGGCTCTCGGTCCCCTCGTTTCGATGTGCGTGCAGTTGATCCCATTGTCGTTGCAATTGTTCCGCGTGGCTAGTAGAGTCCGACTTCAATTAACAACTTTCCATCTTGCGCCCGTTTTTCTGCCACCAAGAGAATCGAGAGAGTATCAAGATTGATAGGCAATGAGAGACAAAATCAGAAATGGGAAGAAGAAAAAGAAAATGAAAAGAGCTTGCAACAATTTATATGCAGCTAAACAAATGGTGAGGTGACATGGGGTGCTGCATTGGCGATCGTTGATGGTTGACGCCCAGTCAAACGCCTTAGGCGCGGCAGCAGTAGTTTCTTGACTGCCGCGTCGCTGGCCATTTCGTCCGTGGCGATTTCGCCACGAACGCGTGCCACTGGCGCCAGTGGCGATTTCGCCACACCTGCGCGCCAGTGGCGCAAGTGGCGATTTCGCCACATGCGCGCGCCAGTGGCGCAAGTGGCGATTTCGCCACACACGCGCGCCAGTGGTACAAGTGGCGATTTCGCCACACACGAGCGCCACTGGCGCAAGTGACGATTTCGCCACAAGCGCACGCCGCTGGCGCACGTGGCGATTTCGTCACTGATGCGAGAGTGGTCGTTGCTTCATGCGCACTTCTTTCTCGGTTGCGCGCACACCAAATGCATCACGGGCGCGATACTGTAACATCCGCAGTTAACTCGCGTAGTGGCTAATGTGTTACGTTGCTGCTGCAGAGCTTGTCCATGCGTTGTTGCCTCCCTACTTCTAGAGTGAGAATTAAGGACGAGTGAAAACTGAAGTAGTTGGACGAGAATGAAGCGAAACTGAAAGTTCCGAAATGAAGACGTGGGTGGAGGCCAAATGGCCTCCAACCAGGGGTTTTTTTATCAGAGTAAATTACTCTGTTTCT